AATAAAGTGTGAGTTTTATTTATTTTTATTTAAACAGATGAGTGGGTTGAGAACTCATTCTCATTTAGGATGACTGACTTTTACGTAAGTAATTAAGTTTAATAAAAGTACGCGTTATACACGATTCTTGCATTCAGACATTCCTTTTCAGCTTCAGTCTCCTCATCATGCTCTGATATCTGAGTCGATGGTCAAACCTGCTTAAAGGGACTTTACGGAGTTTTGAATTTTTATGCTCACGATCGCCCCCTCAGGCCAAAAGCGTAACGGCAGCTTCAATAGTAGGCTCGTGCACGAGGCGCACATGCTGTACGTGCACTCTCCTTAAGGAAAATAACAGCTGAGACAGTCTGGTGTGTGTGTGTGTGTGTGTGTGTGTGTGTGTGTGTGTGTGTGTGTGTGTGTGTGTGTGTGTGTGTGTGTGTGTGTGTGTGTGTAGCCCGGAGAACAGAGGACAGGAGAACACGCAGCTAATTAATTAAATAATGTGGTTCTGTACCTTTCTCTTCAGCACAGCTGACAAAGGTTTATGATGGGTCAGTCCTCCTGCATGCTCAGATCATTCCCTTCCCTTGCTTGAAAAATTGTTCCAAAATGAAAGTTGAACCCACATCTTTTTAATCTGTGAATTCAATGCCGTTCGGCGAGTCTCAAATAAAGATGTGGGCATCTTACTGTAAAAATATACCATTAATGTAAAAAATAAGCTCTAAATAAACTATGTTCACACCCAGAATCAAACCCAGGTCTTCTGCATGAGAGTCAGACATCTTACTAGGTGAGCTACACTCTAGTAACATTCATAGTATCTATAATTTTTATATCCTTGATGACAGCTGAAACAACGTCAAACCAAAGAACGGTTCGGAGCGAAAATGGCTATTTTGTTGCTAATTTGCAGGAAATATCTAGAAGAAAGTTCTACAGAAAGTAGCTAAGGGTCCTCAGAAATGTAGCTAGCTTTGTCACTAGGCGTTAGCAACAGCGACAAAGTGGCACTGCCTCTCTCTCTGCTGCTAAAGCTACGGATAGCAAATGCTACGGGCTATGCCTGACCGTGAACGCGCATGAAGCAGCCTGCTCAACCCGAGCATCTCTCTTTTTCTGTGATTTTACAGAAAAACAGGCAATCACAGTAAAAATGCCAGGGCTCATTCTACAGGACCAGGGCATTGCAGGAGAACGTATGAAGAAGACATTTATTATTTCTATACATGTTTTGGCTGTCAACCTTCCATACTATCCCTTTAAAGTTAACAGTTGCTCATTTATAACGTTACGATAACAACAGACATACTTTAAAACATTAAGCTAGAGCTTTAACATTGATCTCTGTGATTGTTGGGTTAGAAACTTTACCAGTTTCATGTCTGACACCACTCTGATGCCTTCTGCTGGCCAGAAACCATACTTGATAGTTTTCTGGAGCGGGTAGGTGTCCTAGGGGGCACTCTTTACCTGCTTTACATCTGTGATACTAGCAGTTAGCGTTTTCCGTTCACCAATCGCCAATCAAAAGCACAACCAGGAGAAGAAAAAATGATCTTTTTCAGTTTAGATCACGGCAGAGTCTGGAAGTAAAAGTACGCGAGTAAAGTTTCTGGAGGTGAAGCAAAGAGCTAAAACCAGAGAGAACATTGGTGCTGCCTATGCTGGTTTGAGGGAGCTAAAGGAGGCTACAAAATTGTGGACTGATGGTGACCTGGCTTTGTTGTTACTGGACTTGGAAGTGAAAGTGCGGATCTTTTTTCTTTGCGATTTATTTTAGTATTACTTGGCTCGTTTTGGTGTTAGCTCGTTGTTAGCGCTAGCTACAGCAGGCTGCAACAGGGTTGTTTACGTAAGTAAATGTTGTAAAGCAACAAATAAATACTAATTATTAAGATATTATTATTTGTACTTTAGAATCAGTCAAGCAAAAAATAGAAAAACTGTGCAGCATAAAATAAAATCCTTCTGCTGAGGCATCCTGGGATTTAATTAATTACAATAATAATAAAGTATTGAAAACAAAAATAGTTTTTTTTAGCTGTTGTGTGTTAGATTATATTTTAGGTTTCAGATGTTATGTAAAACCTGTTCGTAGGCGTTTAAAGTAATAAGATTTTGTTTTAATCTTGTCTTACGGGCACCTCTGAAGTTCTAATTCTACTGTTTCAGTTCGATGTAGTACTTAATTATTATTACTGATGATTTGTTACTGATAACATTTCTAAACATTTACTTTATTTGAAAACAACAAGAGTGCTTACTGTAGCTTATTTTGTTTCCATACTTAACAATAACTAATGATTTGACTATCTTACTCACCTGGTATTCGGTTTACCCCTAACACCGCCTCCTAGAGGCAGCAACGAGCCATAGCGTCCAATCACATAGATTTCAGACTAATGAGCTACTTTGTGCATTAGGCTGTGTTCACTCTGCATGTCTTAGTGTTCACTTCTGATACTTTTTGGTTTAGATCCCAATATTTTCATGTTCACGTTTTAGTACTAGCAACAGTCTGAGGCGCGACGCAACCTGCACAGACATTTGGGGACATACCTTATTGCAACAAAAAAGGTCGAGCTCATCATACAGGAATCCATCCGTAACGTTGTGTTCAAAACTTCCGGTTTTTGGAGACATTCTCTAACTTGCGCATGTGCAGAAAGGGGACGCTACAAGATGTGTGTGCAGACGTAGATACTACATGTTGTTGAGAGGAATTCTGTCTTTACTTTTCAACAACAGAAATAAACAAACGCTGTTTTCATCATTTAAGTTATTATAAAAAAACAGTTTTGTATTTTAGGACTGATGAGCTAACTGCTAGTCTGAATTCAGCCAAGTTCAATTCAAAATTCAAATGTTCAATATTTCATGAAGGTTAATGAGACGTTATTTTACATTTAAGATCATCATCGGTGATTGTGGGAGTTGCACTCTAAAAACAACCCACAACAGGAGAAACTCGTGAAGCAGCCAGCTTCATTTTTCACAATTATTATAAATGTTTGTAGCACATGCAGCTACTATTAGGGTCTCTCTCTTTCTCTCTCTCACACACACACACACACACACACACACACACACACACACACACACACACACACACACACACACACACACCAGAATGTCAGATTTTCTACATTTCTACTTCCAGCATGTGTGCATGGGTGAAAAATTTTATTTGCACACTCTTTACAGCATTTCAGTCTCTCATCACGTTGTAGAGATTCGTGTCTCCTCAACGACAGCCGCTACCCTCTCTTCCGCATAGGTGCTCGTCCCAGCTTTCACGCAAGTCCGTCGTAGTATATGCTCGTTCATGGGTTAGCTTTCACTTCCTGTGCTTGCACTTCCTGTTTGTGTGGAGTAGGGATGAGCCGGATACTTGTTTCAGACGAGTATCCAGTACGGATAAAGCATTTTTTACGAGTACGAGTATGAAACGAGTAAAACTCGTAAATATCTGTAATCGTGCTGAAGAAAAATCCTCATTGGGTAACTGACTGTCTTCCCGCTCTGTGATTGGCCAGTCACATAGAGCGCCCGCCCCTCACCACACACAAAACTCTGCAGCCGGGAGCTCACAGCTCAGTCCGCGTCCGGTCCATCCACGCACGCACGCACACACACAGACAGTAACGGATCTCTCTGTGTTCAAAGTTATTTAAAGTTACTTTTTTCGTAACGTACGTGGTGCATTTGACAAGACAGAGCTGAAAACGGCTCGTGCTGCGTCAGTCACTGCCTCCGCTCCAGTCGGGTTTTTTTCTTTTCCTCTCTCCCTCTCCTCTTCCTCAGGATCCACTCCCTCTTTCCCATTCACTCTCTCTCTTTCTTTACATTTTTTAATCACAATTGTCTATTTTTTGCGCATATAAAATATATTTTAATCATTTTCTTCATTCTTTTTTCTCTTGTTTTTGTGAAGCGCCCCGTGATTTTTATCTTGAGGCGCTATAGAAAAGATCTTTTCTTCTCTCGCTCTCTTAATTCATGCACTTAAATATTAATGTTCTGATTTTATTGAAAAACTTGTTCTGTAATAGTTCCTTTTACTATTGTGATCAAAAACATTTAATCTCAACTCTGAGGCTGCTCTCTAAATAGTTTTCAAATAAACAATACACACAGCAACTTCTGATCAGACTTAAGTATTGATGTAAACCACACCCACTTCCGGGCTAGGCCACGCCCACTCCGAGTACAGATACAGATAGTGGTGTACTTGCTCATCCCTAGTGTAGAGCGATACGCCTTCCTTCCTCACCGTTCTCACCGGGTTCTCTTAAAAATGGCTGAGAGTCGCAAGAGAAAGTGTCTTCGAAGTCGACGATAAGAAGAAAAAGGCCTCCGAAGTGAGAAATAGGACCAGAGTTGTAAGGAGACTCTTTTCGACGATGGCATGCATCGAAAGCGAAGGTTGGGCTCCCTACAGACGCCTCTGTTGCCACTTTTCTGCTGGACATGTAAGCTAAAGTTCAGCATGCCGTCTGGAAAAATAATTTCAGATTACTGCTAGGATACGTGCTGCAAGGCTGGCAGCTACTCATTAACCGAGCGTGCATTTTTTCTAAAAGTGGGGAGGGCGGTTATTTCAGAAACATCCTCCACCATACCTTCAAACACTCAGCGTTCAAACCTTTTTGGACACAGAACACAAGGTGCTGTAAAAAATTAGCACAAAAAATCTGCTAAACTGTGAGGGCGCAACAGGTGAACCGCCAAAGGGAAGGGCCACTGTTGTAATTTACCAGGAAATGGCCACCAGCAGCCAAATGCTGCTCTTCAGGTGCATCCAGGAGGAAACCTGACAGGAAGTTTTCTTTTTTTTTATTACCTTGTAATTTAAACTTTTCAGTGCTGTAGAGGTTTATTAGAGCTTATGGAGCCTAGAGCCTGGTAAATTCACACTAGCCGTTAGCTCATCAGTACATTAGGTTATAAATCTATTTCTCCAAACAAAGGCTGTTCAGGAAGCTGATTTATTCCTAACGGACTGACCAGTTAGGATGGAAGTGAAAAATCAGCTGTTACGCAGTGAAGAAGCGTAAACGTGCCCGTTTGTTGTGATGGATCTCTGAACCGAACATGTCTCATGGAGCTGGAGGCAGAGCTTCACGGGGAGCGGCTTGGTGTGTTCGGGGAGTGGCTGCTGGTTCATCACTGGGACAGCAGGGCTGAACTTCTCTCCTCTACATGATCCTCGTCACTAATTGCACCATCTGGCTGCCCTGCGCGTTTTACAGACGCTCCTGCACATCCTGCTCCCTCATAGTTTTCTAAGTCGGAGAGCTCCATACTTGTGGGTGACTGAACAGGACGCGGATCTTGTTTTTTTATTTTTATTTTCTCAGAGTTCTCCGTTTGATTTTGCGCTCGCTCCGTTTCTTCCTCCGTGCGCCCGGAGAAGTAGGAGGAGGAGGAGAAGGAGGTGGACTCGCGCTGACTCGCCGGTCTCCCGGTTTCTTTGTACACAGCAGCTGTGTGTAAATGCAGAGAGGAGCTCAGCGCCTGCTGCTCTGCTTCTTTTTGGGCTCCGTCCAGCCTCCAAACGGCTCTCTGAGAAATGACGCGACTGCACCAGGGGTAGAATAGGAAACTTTATCTGACTTCTCACTGCTGTAGTGTCTCCAGATCCCCGTGAGTGTGTGTGAGTGTGTGTGAGCGCTTGGATTGCAAACGGCTCCGCACACAGCAGCAGCAGCAGGCTACATCTGCGCGCCTCCTTTACGCACCATGGATGTAAGGTTTTACCCGACCGCTGGTGGGAATTCTATTCCTGGAGAGCCGCCCAACCTGGATTTTGCCCACTGTTTGGGCTACTACAACTTCAATAAGGTGAGAGAGTGCGTCTTGTTTCGGTGGAGTTGAGCTGCGTGAGCACGTTGGTGCCGAAAGTGCGCCTGTTGGATCAGCCGCAACCTTTACTTCCTCGAGCGCATCTAAAGTGAACTCTTCTCAGAAGCTGCCTCATAATTTCTCCCCTCCTTCCCAAACTTTGCGGCTATTCCAGATTCATAACCTCCGTTTTGGCTCCGCGCTACTTTTGTTTTTGCCCCGCTGCACTACTAAACTCTGACCAGAGGGATGCGATCCAGTCCTGGGCGCTGTTGCTTACACGGTTTCATGTTCCTCAACATCACTGGGCGATCATTGCATCAGCAGCAGCCTGCATTACAGTTCAGATGTACAGCTTTTTACCTACATCATGATGCAATTAATCCACATGTTATAACCCCCCCCCCCCCCCCCCCCCCCAACCCCGGTAATTACAGGGCATTTAACTTTATTTCAGGTGTTGAACCAGTCAGAGTTGCTGCTGCAGATGTAGCGTGAAATGAACTGATTTCAACTTCCCAGGTTTGATTATAACAGCACGTGCACACAGACTGACAGCTAGACTCCTTATTTGTTTCTTTATGAATGCACTAATTGTCCCTATTGTGGTGCACAGCTAACTCGGTTATAACCTGCTTTAGGACTGTAACAGGGCGCTTTTAGCTCCACGCTTTCCGTTTCTGGGTTGTTTTATGCAGTACCTGAATGCAGATGGGAGTGTTGGGTGCAGCTGCTGCCCAATAACACATTTACTGGTACTTGTGTGTCTAAAAGACAGTTGATGGGAGAATGTATCCATGAACTCAACCTTTCTTGGACAGTAATCCATAAACAGCACGGCTCCAGTGCACCCCAGCTAGAGGAAACATCATTCTGACAGATAAAATATCAGGAAACTGCTGTGTGTGTTTTTATTAAGTCCAAACAATGCTAGCCCCTACACCCCACCCCCCTCGACCTGTCTTCAAACACACACGCACTACCCCCCACCCCACATAATCCAAGCCCATGCTGCAGCTTGGTTTGAGCTCTGATGCGCCTCCAAACAGTTACCAGGCTTGTCTCACTGTTTCGTCAGCTCTTTTGTCATGTGGCCAAGTTGTCATGTGTGCCCAGTTTCATCATGTCTTCATCAGCCATGAAGAACTTCAACTGCATTGGCGTCGAGAGTCAAAAGATCCTTTTTTTCATTATATTTACACCTGCTCGTAAAATGTGCAGGTTGAGAGACATTTTTCCATCTGTAAGAGTAATTGGCCAGCATGCAGGGGGAGGCAGAAAGAGGGAGGCAGGGTGGTGAGAAAGTGCCTATCCAGGATCTTCAGCAGTTGTGTTGGAGGAAGTGGGAGGGGGGTACAAAGAGTGCATTTTATGACAATTACGATGCTTTTGCACGTTGAACAAATGGACTTTTTGCATGCATCTTTCAAATAAGCCTCCCATTTATTAGAATCAGCTCCCACAAAGGTAGCACAATGACGAGAGGTTAGTCACTTCTCGTATTTAGAAGCTGTCAAAGCGGCTTTCTCAAAGTTTTCACAGTTTTGATTTGAAAAACAGGAAGAAACCGGTGAAGGCACAGGAAATGTTCGGTTTTAATGACAGCAGGGGCCCAGAGGCGCTTTGAAACATCAGAGATTCTTTTAAATTTACAGAAAAAGTCCACACCAATGGCACTAACTTCATTAGGTGCTGCAGTCATGGCTAACGAGGTGCTGTTTTCTTTGAGAGGCACAGAGGTACCGGAGAGAAACGCGCCACCGCTTCAGACAACTGATTAGTGCTCGTGAACATCTATTAACACACCAGATTTTAATCAAACGCGCTCCCCTATCAACTCAGAACGTAAAAGTGTTTGGATCCGACTCTGTTTGGGCCCATTTTTCTTTAACGTCAAACTGACCCCGGATCAGTCATAATCCTGCCTTCTAATTGGCTGTTTTAATCAAAAACAAAGTTTCAACAAGTGCTGACGTACTGGTTCTGGTTTTCTTAATGAGTCAAACCTGATCGGCTTTACTAGGTTCATGAAAGAGTCTGAGTGTTATTCCCATATTTATGGCCATCTGGTCATTTTTTAAGGCGTAATAACGTTTCAGATACAGTATCCGTTTAGTGGGGCTTTCATTACCCCCAGGCACCAAGAAATGACCAACAGATGTTCCTACAAACTTCACCTGAACTGGTCCTCATGTCGGAGGTTCCTTTGCAGAACGAATGCCTTCATCAGCGCAGAAAAAAAAACACTGTCTGTTGCTCAGAAGTGGCTTCACGTGACGTTGAAGACTTTATTCTAGAAGTGTTTAAACTAAAACGTCGAGAAAAGGCCTGATTCCATTATTTAGTGATGTAATGCCGGCTGTCTAGTTGATGTGCTGACTAGTGTTGTTTTCATCAGACCTCCTCGTGTCTATCCAACAGTTTTCATTGCCGCCGTTTGCTTTAGGAGGATGGATTATTTGGAAACATTAAACATCCTTCCTGAGTAAAAAAATAAACTCAGTTTGGAGAATCGGAGACTAGATCTGGCTGGATTGATAAGCTAACTGCTAGTCAATGTGAGGCAAATTACAAAGTGGATGTCAGCGACCTCAAACATTTATGGTAAATGGCCTGTAGTGGTATAGCGCCTTCTAGGATACTACATCCGCCCAAGGCACTTTACAACACACATTCACATGCTGATGATGATGAGCTACAGTGTAGCCACAGCTGCCCTGGGGGTGCAGTGACAGAGGTGAGGCGCCACTGGTCCCTCCAGCCACCACTAGCAGCAAGGTGGGTTACGTTTCTTGCCCAAAGACACATTGACTGTGACACATGGGTTTCAAACCTGCAACCCTCTGTACTTAACTAGCCTGACACACTCGCCCCCCATTTGTCTCAAATATGTTATTCTTGGCACGGGAAAACCTCCAATTTAGACTTTTTATGACTCATTTGTAAATGTATCTGTGACCATATATGATAAATGAGCTGCCTTTCAGCGTCAGAGGACTCCAACGTGCCTTACCCTACAGTGAATCAGTCATCTTACAGATTTATTCAGTTATTAATAATCATCTCTGAACTAAGTCACGTCTGTCTGAACAGCTGGTTATAATCAGCAGGAATTATTACTATTATCTGACTCGTAGGACTCGTGGAAAGTTTGCATGTTTGTGCTACAAACACAGCGGTGGCTCTTCTTAGAAAGTAGCCTGTCAGGTTATTTGCTTTAGCTTGAAATCAAACGAGCCATCACCATTATTAACCACAGGCACCCGGACCCCGGCAGCAGGAAAATCTGAGGAAACCTTTTAAATAAACGCTCAGTTTGACAGTCCTGCTTGTGTCCTACGGGTTATTTATACGATCTGACTGGACCCGCCGGAGGGTTTCAGTAAATGATTTGTACTGTTTCCAGGGGAGGTTCAAACACTTTCTTCTTCATGAAGTGTTTTATTTCCTGTTTTTATTTTACTGTTGGGAAGAGAAAGGGTTAAAACTCGGCCGACCAGGGGGGCCGTGTGCATCTTTCCAGCGTACACAGCTGGTGCCATTTCATCACACTCGTTCTAAACATATCCAAACACAATGTGTGTGTGTGTGTGTGTGTGTGTGTGTGTGTGTGTGTGTGTGTGTGTGTGTGTGTGTGTCTTTGTCAAACCCAACAGTTGATGAATTTGACTCCTAGGTGCACGTTAAATGTTTCGGTGTCTAAGAAGGGAAAAGCTGATGTGTTTTTGCTGAGTCGTTTAATTGCAGCTCGTCGGGAGGCGTGCATCAGCAGATTTATTAAACACCTAATTTTCCCGCAGAGAGTTGTTATTTTTAGTTTGCCTGGCTGGAAGAAACGCTCTGTACTCAGAGTTTCTGCCTGGAAGAACGGCTCCTCTGTGAGGAGTAGCAGTAGCGGTTCTCCTTTTGTTTGTGCACACATCTTGATTTCCTACGTGGTGTTTCTCCTGATCGGAGAGCTCTGCAGTTGTGACGTGTGAAAACTTGCAGCAGCACAACAGATCTGTGAGGAATCAGGTTGTATTTTTTCTGATTTGACTAGAAAATACACTTTTAAGCAAAACCATCTGAGGTCAAGTTTTTGTACAACGAGCCGAATGTGACAAAAGCTCTAGACTCTGTAACGTAACAAAAGTTCATTCACGTGCCCTTTATACGTAATTAATGCCTCACCGAGGCAGACTGGATGGTCTGCAGGTGCTAGTTTAGAAGGCCTGCATGTCTAGTGGCAGAAATGGCTGTGATGACCTCAAGCTTGGGCCACGCCCCATCATTTGCATGGAACGACCTGCTGGTGCAGTCATGTGGCATCATGGTGATCGTCTTCATGCTGAAGGACGTTGGCTTGGCGGTCGGCAGAAACCATCTTTTATCTCAGCTTAGCAGGCTAACCCTAACTCAGCCTCGCTGAAAAAACATTTTAACGGCTATTTCTGATTCTAACGGGTCACTCTGAGTGTTTCACGCAGGCTGAACATGAAAATAGTCTCCTACACCTATCTCCTGCAGTAGCTTCTGATAGAAAACAGACAGTGAAACTCTAGGATTAGAAATTCCTGACAGATCTACGTCACACTGTCACTAACATTCATGGACTCACGACGGGGAAGGCTGTTGTTGGTTTAGCGTCCAGGAAACAGCAGAGAAATTGATGTAATAATGTTGTTTGAATTAAACCAGCTTATTGTATGCATTGTGATTGTAAAATAATGCAAAACATGCCAGTTTTCCATGATTAGGTAGCCTTGGGTTTAGGGGTAACAAATTACTGCAGGGTTGCAGGTTTGATGCCATCTTTCCCAAAGCACTGGATTCCCCTGGTAAATAAAGGCCAAACAATTTAAAAAAAAGATGCACTTAAACCTGCAGTTGGATAAAAGAGTTGACAAGCAGATGTGAGATTTTGAGAGGTGCGCTGAACGACTCCGTAAAAATCAGTCACTCAGACGTAAAAATAAAAAGTTTGTGGGAGAAATTTAAGGATCTCATCATCAAAACTG